CTTACTAGGGGCTTGGCACTGTGCTAGATGCTTTAATGGAATGGTTATTTGATGCCTCCTAAAATCCTCTAAAGTAGGTATTACCAAATCCTCCCTTTCTCTCCCTCTTACAGGTGAGGAAACTAAGGTTTAGAGAAGCCAAAGAACTTGCCCAAAATCATACATCATTAAATGGTAAAACCTGAACTTGAGTCTGAGTCTTCCTGCACTCTTAATCATTATACTATACCGCAATGGAGGAATGCAGGTAAGAAGAGGAAAATGGCATTCCTTTCTCCTAATGCAGATATCAGAACCCATGAAGAACCACTGCAGGCTCTTTGCTTCATTTATAAGTTATCAACCCATGTGTGTGCACACTCATGCATATGTACACATACATAATGCAAATCTTCCCAAACTGTAACTGTGTCTGCCACGGTTTAGACATGGTTTGTTTGTCCCTACCAAAACTCATGTTTAAATTTGATTCCCAAGATGGTGATATTGGGAGGTGGGATATAGTGGGAGGTGTCTGGGTCATGAGGCAGATCCCTCATAATGGCGTGGTACGTGCGTGAGTTCTCACTCTGGCGAGACTGGATTAGTTCTTGCAAGAATGGATTAGTTTCCCTTAGAGTGGATTTTTATAAAGCCCAGAAGCTTTATAACTGGGGTTTAGTCTCTTCCCACGTGTCCGCCTCCCCTTTGACCTTCTCTGCCATGTTTCGACCTAGCACATGGGCCTCACCAGAAGCTGAGCAAATACCCGTATCATGCCCCTCGGACTTCCCTGCCTGCAGAACTCTGAGCTAAATAAACCTCTTTTCTTTATAAATTACCCAGTCTCAGGTATCCTGTTATAGCAACACCAAATGGACTAGGACAGTCTCCCAAACCCTCTGCGGGCTTTTCTTAAAGGTCACACAACAAGCCCCAAGAGAAAGAAGGGTTTGGTCTAAAAAGTTTTAAATTTCCTCACACTTTTCAAACACTGGAAAATCCATTTGGCTCAGAGAAATGAATAGTAAAAGGAGTTCTAACTACCTAGAGCCAACAGAATGTAATGGAAAAAAGGCAAGAATATGGCTGGACTTTATTTTCTTTTTGCTCAGCACATCCTGTCTTTAATCTGGAAGGTAAATAGGCCATGCCCAACATACCAATTCTTTTCAGGTGAAATTATCTAGGTTATAAAAACAAGCAACAACTGTGTTTTCATTATTCCTTAACTCATGGCTGGCAGAAATTATTTCCAAAATAAATCAGAGGCAAATATTGTCCACAAGGGAGCAAACCTACAAATTTCCATTACTTTGATAACTGAGACTTTTGTGAATTTTTTCTTTCACTTGAATTAACATTGTGTGGCATTATCTGAAAGAGCACGTTGCAAAAGCCAGAAAAGGAAAGTTTGAATTTTCATATTTGGGTTATTTAAATCTACAGGCAAAAAAGAGAGACAGATAGATACTCTTCGCATATAGTTAGTAGACTAACATCCCTGAGATGCTTAACCTTCAGAGTAGAAAAAATAATTACACCATACCTCTCTCCCTATAACCCCAAAATATCAACTTCTTTGACTCAGTAATACACCTAATGATGTAGGACTTTGGTCAGGCTAGTGAGAGCTATGCCCATTTTTGTCTTATATGTTCAGCTTCTCTTGCTTTTTATTTTCTTCTATATATTAAAGCTGAGCAAATAGTCTAACAGAAACTATCTTCACAGATTGAACATCCTTTAACAACAAACTAGATAATATTGACAGTTAATTTGAAGCAACGTCCATCATATTCCTTTCTCTGGATGTCATTTAAATCAAGAATTACCTACATGAAATCATTTAAAGCGATGTTCTTCAGAGTACCAGTTGTGGGCAAGTTAATGGTATTCCACTTAAAAAGGTGGCACAGTCACCAGAAGTTAAACAGGGTTCCCCTGCTTTCCTTTTAACCACAGATTTCACAGAGCCTGTAAAATGCAAATGTGCATCACATCCCTCCAAGAAAGGAACAGAGAACATCACAGTTTCCAAGCTAATTTGACTACGGAACATTTTATTCAAGGACCATCTCAGTTCACAGAGCTGGTGGTCCATGGAGCATGCTTGGGGGCAGGGCATCAATTTCAAGGCCAGGTCTGCCTAAAAATAGGGAATGGGCTGGTCAACACTCAATGGTCAAGTCAGACTCTCCACATCTGTCCATTAGGCACTCCCAGATGACACTGCACCCCATAGCTGGAGCTCTGTGAAGGGTCCTAGCGCCTTCATTTTTACAAATTGAGCTCAATCACACAGCTGAATTGGGGGTAGAGCTGGAAATGGAGCACGGTGATCTCAGAAACAAAAAGAATTTAAGCTCACAGCAAAATGGCCAGGGATACCTCTTAGAGAAAACAGGACAAAGAAAGAATGTTTTTAACACTTTATTAAATCCATGAAAATATACCAGGATAGCACCAAATTTAGCAGGAGGAGGACTATTACATTTGGACACTCCCCCAGGGCAAGGTGGGGCAGGATCCTTAGTAAAACCAGTAAAACCTTTTTTTTGAGACAGGGTCTTGCTCTGTCACCCAGTCTAGAGTGCAGTGGTGTGATCGTAGTTCACTGTAACCTAAAAGTAGGCTCAAGTGATCCTCCTGACTCAGCCTGGCAAGTAGTTGGGACCACAGGCAAATGCCACCATGCCTGGCTAATATTATTTTATTTTTATAGAGATGGGGGGTTTCACTATGTTGCCCAGGCTGGTCTCGAACTCCTGGCCTCAAGCGATCCTTCCATCTAGGCCTCCCAAAGTGCTGGGATTACAGGCATGAGCCACCACACCTGCCCTAAAACTATTTTAAATATATGGTATGGGCCGGGCGCGGTGGCTCACACCTGTAATCCTAGCACTCTGGGAGGCCGAGGAGGGCAGATTGTTTGAGCTCAGGAGTTCAAAACCAGCCTGAGCAAGAGCGAGACCCCGTCTCTACTAAAAATAGAAAGAAATTAATAGGACAACTAAAAATATATAGAAAAAATTAGCCAGGCATGGTGGCGCATGCCTGTAGTCCCAGCTACTCGGGAGGCCGAGGCAGGAGGATCGCTTGAGCCCAGGAGTTTGAGGTTGCTGTGAGCTAGGCTAACACCATGGCACTCACTCTAGCCAGGGCAACAGAGTGAGACTCTGTCTCAAAAAAAATAAAAAAATAAAATAAATATATGGTATGCACAAGAAGTCTTTCCCAGCCAATAATTGGGAGATATCATCCAATCCTATTTGGAATGGAAATTGGTACTATGTGGCATATCAAAAAAATGTTACAAATTTCTTTTCAGCCTTGAAAATGCAAAACATATTAGACACATTTTTAAAACTTGTTTTTTAAAAAAAGAAATCTCTAACCAAAAAAAAGTTAGAGTAGTATTTCAAGTGAGTCTGATTCTAATTGCAAATTTACAGACACTAATGTAATCATACACACACAGCTTACTATTTTGGCAGATCATAGGTAATGGGGTAATAGGATGCCAGGGAAGATTAATGTTTTTAGGTGTAAAAAGTTTCAAAATTGGAGGGATACCAAAAATATCGAGCCATTTGACTTTCTGCTTTTGAGCACTCCCTAACAATGAAAAAAATCTGAATCTACATGACAGAATAATCTAATTGTACTAACACCTCCTCCCAAATCACTGAAGGAGAAATGAGCAACAGTTGTGCTGTTTTTAATTAGGAACTAAAATCTATTGAAACAATAATATAACAGTGTTAGCTCCTCGTGAATATGAAATACAACCTTTGCTTGGGTATTCCTTACCCAACACTGACGCACAAACTTGAATTCTGCACTATGAAATCTCATAGCAAAAACTGAATTCCATGTCCTGCTTTAAACATCAGTATCCCTCAGGGAAAATTTTCCATCCTGGTTTTCACCAAATGTTGCTTCTGACTCATTTGTTTCAAGGATTAGCAAGGGTCTGAAACATGTGTTAGAAAGTCAGAGAAATAATCATTTTTGAAGGACGGCCTTCAGAAACAAAGCAAGACCAAAGAAAACTGAAGTTGCTCTGAGATGACAAGGCCATTTCCTCACTGCCTATAAAGCAACACATACGGACAAGATGAGGAAGGAGATGAAGCGCAAATATTACTCCTCAGTGAAGCCTACTCCTGACCACCCTTCTTAAAACTGCAACATCCTCTCAGCCCTGCCCTCTTGTGTAACTTTCTTTGATTGAATGTAAGCTGCTAAGAGCAATAATCAGAGCTGGGTTTTGTTTCTCTGACTGATAAATCCTAGTGCCTAGAACAGTTTCTGGGACATAGTTGCTGCTCAATAGATATTTACTGACTGAATGAACAAACAATACTATTCTTTGTCATCTTTGAATCCTACAGGAACTCATCGGTCTGTTTCCTATCTATCCTTAATCAACCAACCTTCAAGGACACTTGTAGTGAAGGTCACAGGCATTGATATCAGGTGTTAATTAAAAGAAACAAGTCCACTCCTGCAGATCTACAACGTTCTCTTTATTATATGGAATAAGCAGCATTCAGCATATTGTGAAAATAGAATGAAAGGAGCTATGACAAAGTAAAACAATTTACACCATGTGCTTTGTAGGAGATGAGCAAGAATATGGAAGGAAAATCAGCATAGTAAATTGTTACCTGATTTCTCTATCATTCAAAATACCTGATGAGCTTCTTATAGATGGTATTTAACTAAAGCATGTCAAAATTTCTCTATTTTATTCCTTAGCTAGAAACTTAAGAAAGACTATTTAAGCAACCAACAATTAAATTTTAAACATACATTACACTTACTAACAACAAGCAAACACTGTATTTACCATTCCAGATACTATTTGGAAACACATCCAAATGCGGATTGCTTTCCAAAGCAGGCTCACACCATGGCCAACTCTGGCTTCTCAGTATGCCACAGAAATGTATCTTGTACTTTTATAATTTTTCCCTTTGTATTTGCTCATAATGAAAACATTCAGGAAAACTTACAGCTGTGCAAAAGATGCACTGGCATTCCTGGAGTGTGGTCATCTTGTCCAGAGACTGTTCACACAGGCAGAGTTTGCAAGTGACTAGGGGGGCCAAAGCCAGGTCTCCAGGTGTGGGATTTTCGGCAGTCATGGTGAGACAGGGGAGCCTACCAACTGCGCCCATCCGCCTGTCTTCAGCCTTCTTCAGTCTCCTCAGACCCTACAGAAAGATCCAAAGCAGAAAATATTATATCCATTGACACAGCTATTGTTTAACCAACACATTTGGGTGCCAGCAGAGAAAGTTCTCACCCTCAGTGATCTCTAAACGTACAGCTAATGCATTTCTGAGACCCATGGGCTACAGAGCTTGCTCCCTTGGCAAGGTGTTCCTGAAGTCTTGAAATATAAGCTGACCTCACTGTCCTGATGCATATCACGTGCGCTATGGAAGACCACTATGGGGGGTGGGTGGGAATGGGGAGATGTTGGTCAAGGGTACTAAGTTTCAGTTAGGATGAGTAAGTTCTGGGGATCTCTTGTGCAGCATGGTGACTATAGTTAGTAATAATAAATTGTACTCTTGAAAATAGCTGAGAGTAGATTTTGAACATTCTTGCCACACAAAAAAATGTAAGTGTTGATATGTTAATCAGATTGATTTAATCATTTCACAATGTGTGTGTGTATATATATATATATCAAAATATCCCATTATATACCACAAATATATACAATTTTTATTTGTCAATTATACCTTAATAAAGTGGGTGTGGGGGGAATACTACCATGAACAAGCACATCATTTAGGAATTCCATTGCTATAACACCAAATTTGACAGATTCAAAAAATACTTAAATATACAGTGTCACTCAAAAAGTTAAACAAAGAATGACGATATGATCCAGCAATTCCTATTCGGTGTATATACCCAAAAGAATTGAAGGCAGGGTCTCAAAGAGATATTTGCACATCCAAATTCACAGCAGCATTATTCACAATAGCCAAAAGGCAAAAGCAACCCGTTTCCATCAGCAGATCAATGAACGAAATGTGTTATATACGTACAATAGACTAAACAGGAGTGAGATTCTGACACATGCTACAACATGGATGACCCCTGAACACATTATGCTAAGAGAAATAAGCCACAGAGAAAATAGCAAATACTGTATGATTCTACTTATAAGAAGTACCTATTAATAGAAGAAATTCATAGAGACAAAAAGTAGAATAGAGGTTCCCAGGGGCTGGTGGGAGGGGAAAATGAAAATGAAGAGTTAGCATTTTATGAGTATAGAGTTTCTGCATGGGATGATGAAAAAATCCTGGAAATGGATAGTGGTGATCATTGCACAACACTGTGAACATACTTAATATCACTAAACTGTGCACCTAAAATGACTGAAATCGTACATTTTATATTTCCCCCCAATAATTTTTTAACTAGCGTGGTAGTGTTCATTGTGTTCCTTCACATATAGCATTTCATTTAAACTTTCGCAACCAGAATTATTTTCTTCGTATTATAGCTTAAATTAAGGCACTGAGAAGTCAGGTAATCTGCCAAGGTTCCCAGAACTTGTACATGGCAGAGCAGAATACAAACCTCTGTCTTTTGAGGCCAAACCCAGTGCCTGATCCATCGCACCAGACCTGCCTCAGAAGTGGATACTATAGAAGGGATGAAGCAGGAAAAGAAAGAAAGAATGAGAGTTGAAATCCATGACTACAGCTCTCTTTAAGGTCACTGAAGTTGCAGAGGAATAAAATTTGTCCCCACACATGGCATGACATAGGAAAAGATATCTTTATACTGAAAAATAAGAATGATAGCCAAAGTCTTTCTACTAGATTATTTTTATTCAGATTCTTTAAAAGGAGTGAAATAATTATAAAAATGATCTTCCTGCATATTCATATTTTATATCATATCAGGAAATTTCATGTTCTGATGAAATAAAAGCAAAATCCTAAAGTTCTTACATTATTAAGGAGTTTGGCCAATTCTAATAAATTCCGCCATAGAAATCATTGCAAATATCCCTCCCCAACAAGAACCAGACTCTCTTCCTCTCAATTTTTGGACAAAAGAAATTACTTTACACAAGCCCCACAATGGTTTAAGTCTCAATATATAGGTACGAAATTACTAAAACAAGGCGGAAACAACAAATTGGATTAGATGAAAAAGAAAGAAAAAAACCAATGATATCTTTACTCATCAATTTGCCAGCATTAACTTTCTTAATGTCATACCTGAAAGGGTCAACATTTACTAACTCTAGTAACCTGAAGTGTTTAAGGTTTTCCACCTACTCCCTGAGTAGCAATAGAAGATGTGATTCAAAATAAATTAAATAGTGTAACAGAGTAGTCGCCCCTTCTCCCACAGATGTGGATGCATAAAATTGAGAGTGGGGAACATGTAACAGAGGGAATGGTCTGGGAAAAAATGGCAAAAGATGTTTTCTCTCTCTTTAAAACTCCCCTCATTCTTTTTGGGAACTAAGGCCTGCATCCCTGCCTCTGGCAGGTGCTTGGGAAGAACAGGGGAAGGTCTATTGTTCTTTGTGTTACAGGAGATAGCTCAACTGAACTGTCGGCTCCATCCCAGGCCCAGCACCTGGCCAGCGGAGGTCTGGGTGGGCCTCCCAGGTGGGCAGAGATCATGGCTTTGTCTTCAGCAGAGATGGGACAATTAGATTCATTTACAATACCTTAGAACTGAGGGCCTTCCCTTTACAAGCTCTGTATTTCTTCTTATGTATAGGAATTTGGATTTTGAGATGATAGTCTACCATTTTCCTCCTTTGCTGGCAAAGTAATAAACTTCTCATTCCTTCTCCTCAACCACTTGTCCTTGTTCTTCTAGCAGCCCCGTGGACAAGTGCTGAGCTTTCAATAACAATAGGATACTAACTAGTGATTAGTTTCCATGAGGAAGATGTGCTCTTTCTTGGCAAAGGCCCAATAATGTTTAAGACAGTGTTCTTGAGGAGCTAACATCCAAGAGCAAATTCAGTTCAAATGGACCTGCACATCAAATTCAGGATTTTGAGGTTTAAAAAAAACCAAAACCTGTCTTTAGGGTCAACATAGGAGTAAAAATGAATGATTTTTATCTCTTCTCTCTTCCCAGTTGATGCTCAGACAACTATCATTAGTTGTTTCTCCAAGACTCCCCGGTTAATAGCACACATAGTCCCACCAACTTCACCCAATTGCTATCTTCTCATCTCTATTTTCTCAACACTTCTCATAAAATATATTCTGAACTATTTAATATCTTTCCCTCAAAAAGAGAAATCCCAATTGAAACAAGAAGAAATGTAGCCAGTGCATATTTCCTGAGTAGGGAAGACGGGAAATGACACAGGCCAGAACCACCCCACACAAACATCAATTACCCTGAAGGGCCCTTTGCAGGAAGGGCTGTCGTGAATTGCCAATCCTGCTGTTCCAACCTAGCAAGAGATCTAGGTACTCTTCAAGAAAGCCAAGTAACTCTCACAGTCTCACTCTGTATTATTTTTTAGAAGAGACATTAAACAGGTCAAATTTTTAATGTGCACTTGAAAAACAAAGGCATAATTGTATACCTCTTAGAAATTAATTGAATACTCTTGAAAAGCAGACATAATTGCATACCTCTAATAATACTCCAATAATTACCCACAATTGGATACCTATAATCAGATATCTGTTAGAAATAGTTGTCTTTTTAAGGCAGAACTAGAAATTGTGTTAATGCAGGCCATCTGAAACATCATCTCGTCTCTTGTCATATACATAAGTGTTTACTCCTCAGTTTGTGAGTTGCGTGCCTATAACTTATGAAAT